CAGTATTAGCTGGCATAGGCTGGCACCGGGGCTAATTCTGTCAAGTCAAATGCCAGAACCACATGGAGAGTGCATAATCCAGGAGTGGGTGTGGCCTAGAAGGGAAATAGTGGGCACCTCCCTCAGGACTACCATTCTCACTGGACAGCACGAAAACCAGGACAGGGGCAGGGGTGGCTAGACAGAAAGGCACCTGCCAGTAGCTGTATGGGCTGGATAATAGGTTGGTTGGATTGAACTAGATTTCAATGCCCACTGACATGTATGAGAGCTAAATGGGATGTGGGACAGACTGAACAAGTCTGCGGTACATACTGGCAAGCATGGGAACCAGGGTAGGGGGCAGAACTGGTAGGGGTTATGGGGAGTCGCCCCAACTAGGCTGCAGCTCTAACTGGTTCGCGTGAGGACCAAGTATGAAGTGGATAGGATCGAGCTGGACTATAGCACCCGTCGGTTCATGAGGAAGACAGGGCTAGAGACAGAACAGACCCAGCAATCGCAACAACCAGCATGTGCATAAGCTGATTGGTGTGACGGATGGTGTTGGACTCTGTACTAGCAAACTCACTCAAGAATCAGATCTGGGATCATCTCAGATGAAGTTTCTTTGAAGATCCCTCCAACTTAGAACCCCAACCATCAAGAGACTGTCAGCCAGTGGACTCTGAATAGGTTTCATTGTGATTGGAACTGTGAGATTGGCAGCAATCCAGAACTGATGAACTATCAAAACTGTTTGAGGACCCTCAGAGCGTGCCTCCTGTTGGGGACCTGAGATGGGTAGGAGGTTGGGTGGGTTTTTTCCCTTTGTTACTCCCCTAACCCCAGATACAGGGGAAAATGATAATATTAGCGTGGAAACAATGGTATTACCCACTTTCACCCTGTAGCCCTTGACCCTTTGTACCCTAATCAACTAAGATTATTAAAATAAGAAAAAAGAAGTTCTATGTGTTTCCTGTACATGGACAACCCTAACAAACATGATCAGAAAAATCTTTATTGTGACATTATAGTGAAACTCTTGAAAGAAAATTATTTTTAAAATTTTCTGAAATGTATGAGAAAAATTCCAGATTGCTTCACAGGGTGGATGTCCAATTAGACTCACAGCTAATTTGTTCTCAGAAACTTTACAGGCTGGAGAGACCTAAGTACTAAAAACAAAATAAAACGAACTGCCCAGCCAAAATGTTATACCTAGTTATGTTATCACTTATGAATAAAGGTGAAATAAGCACCTTCCAAAACAAAGAATTTGGCATCACTCATCCAGGTTTTCAAGCGACACTTAAGGATGTGATACACACAGAAACAGACTATTGAAACAAGATTAATGTAGAAAATATCCTGTGAAAAGTAAAAACACAAATCCAAAATTACAATAGGCATATTTGTGGAAAGAAGTCAAGACAATGGTTTGATTTCTGAATAATTACCTGGTGTATAAATGGCCTAAATTCTTCAATGAAAAGATACAAACAGGATGAATGATAAAACACAACACAGAGAGATTGAAAGTAGAATTAAAATTGATATTCCGTGCTAATGGAAAGTAAGCACAACAAAGAGCAGTCACCCCAGCACCAGACAAAATACAGCTTAACACAAAAACAGGTAAAAGAGACAAAGAAGTACATTAAAGAATGATTTCTGGATGAAATCAGCAAGATGATGTGAATGTAGTAAATTTATATAAACCCAATGCCAGGGCATCTGACTTTTAAAAATAAATCCTTATTGATCTAAAGGAAACATAAGCCTCAGTGAAATAACAGTAGACTTCAATAAAGTGCTTTCCTCAATGGACAGATCAATTAGACAGAAAATCAATAAAGAAATAACAGAGTTAATCTACACTATGAACCAAATGGCCCTACTTGATAGCTATAGATCATTATATCCCACAACAGTTGCTGCATACACATTCTTTTCATTAGTACATCCAGACCATGTATGAGGCGTGAAAGCAAATCTCAATGATAAAAACAACCATGAAATCACACCACGCATGCTGTTGGATCACACTGGAGTGAAGACAGACATTAACAATTTAAGAAACAATATGCCTCATCCACTTTCTCCCATTCCTCAACCACACTAATCGGTAGTCCATGTGGGCATGCATCCTTCTTAACTATGTAAACATCAAAAATAAATTTATTAAAACAAAGAAAATGCATAACCCCATGCAGACTGAATAATGTGCTCCTGAATGAACACTGTGTCATAGAATAAATCAAAAGGGAAACCAGAAAGTTCCTAGAAATGAAAATGAGAACCTATCAAAATCTATAGGATGCTACAAAAGCAGAGTTAAGAAAGTTTATATTAATTGGTGCCTACATCAAGAAATCTGAAAGGCATCCTGTAACTGATTTAACAAACCATCACAAGACCTAGAAAAAAAAAACAAATAAAAGCTCAAAAATAGAAAGGAAAAATTAAAGAAATAAGCAAAACAAATAAAAAACAAAGATACAAGGATCAGCAAAATGAAGAGACAGCTTTTTATGAAGAATCAGCTTTTTTGAGCCAGCTTTTTAAAAAAATAAATTGATACACCATTTGTTCTACTAAACTTCTAGTCAAAAAGCAGAAGACATAAATTAATAAAATCAGAGATGACAAAGGAGAATTTTACAATAGCTATTACAGAGAAGAAAAGGAATCATTGGGAATAGCCACAAACAACTATAAGCCAACAGATTGGAAAATCCATAAGAAATTCATAGATTTCCAAATACATAAAATCTACTAAATTTGAATCATGAAGACAAAATTTAAACATATCAATAATCCAGACAGAGAACAAATCAGCTGTATGAACCCTCCTAAAAATGGGGCCAAAACCTGGAGGCCTCAATGCTGAATTCTGTAAAACTTTCAAGAAAAACTGATCTCAATTAGTCTCAACCACTTAGAAAAACTGAAATGGAAGGAATCCTTCCCAACTCCTTTTTTGAGGCTAGCATCACCTTAATTCCCAAACCAAAAAAAGACATACCACAAAGAAAAGACTATAGAGCAACATCCCTGATGAACACATATGCAAATATCCTCAAAAAATGCCACTTATTTGGGTCTGGCACAAATACAAATTGGCTAATGCTTCCCTTGCATGCACTGGGATACCATTGGGCGACAGTTCGTGTCCTGGTTTCTCCACTTCCCATCCAGCTCCTGGCTGATGGCCTGGGAAAGCAGTAGAGAATGACCCAAAATCTTGGAACCCTGCAATCACATGGGAGATAAGGAAGAAGCTCCTGGTTCCTGGCTTCAGATTGGCTCTATTCTGACCCTGCTAGCTATTTGAGGAGTGAACAAGAAGATGGAAGATGTTTTTTTCTGCAACTTCTTCTCTCTGTGAATTTGCCTTTCCAATAAAAAATAAATAAATCCTAAAAAAAGAACATGCCAGTTAATCAAATCCAATAATACACCAGAAAGACCATTTACTCATACCAAGAGGGATTCAGCTGTGGTAAGCAGGGATGTTTGAATGTATGCAAATCAATAACCATAATAGATAATGCTAAAAAATTGGATTAAAAAACCATATCATTATCTCAATTGATACAGAGAAAGCAATTGATAAAATATCTTTGATAATGAAAACCTTAAGTAAGTTAGATACAGAAGCAATATTCCTTCATACAATGACTGCATATACTTCATATTTATTTGGAAAATGCTGGAAGCATTTCCTCTAAGATCCAAAACCAGACAAGAATGCTTCTTCCCTACAAAGCAAACATTCAACAAAGTGAAGAGGTAACTGACAGAATGGAGAAAATGTTTGTAAACTGTTCAGTGGATAAAGTACTGATATCCAGAATCTACATAGAGCTCAAATAACTAAACAATAACCCAAACAATTCAATTACAAAATGTGTCAAGGACACAAACAAGGCATTTTTCAAAATGAAATACAAATGGCCAACAGACTTACAAAAAAAAATGCTCAGAATCACCAAACCTCAGGAAAGCACAATAAAAAATGTAATGAGTTTTGTTTTCTTACTTTAGCTAGATTGGCTATCATACAAAAACAAAGAAAAATGATGAGGATGTGGTGAAAAGAGTACCGCTAATACATTGTTGGAAATGCAAACTACTATCCTCATCATGAAAGACAGTATGAAGACTATTTAGAGGTCTGAAAATATACTACCACATGGCCTTGAATCCTGCTTTAGGAAATTAACCCAAAGGAAATAAAATCAATACATAAAAGAGTTATTTGTACTCTTGTACTTATTGTAATTCAGTTCATAATAGCTAAAATATGGAACCAACCAAAATTTCTATCAACTAATGCCTGGATATAGAAAATATGGAATATATACACACAAAAGTATCACTTGGAAAAAAAGATTTTTTTCTCCACAATTCTTAGTGCTTACAGTTACAATGACCTGCATTTACATATTTTTAAAAATTTCGTACCAGTGTTCCAAAATGACTTCAAGGTGTCACTGAACACTAACGCATTAATGTAGTATTTCTTATTTTGGTGATCAACATTCTAATGTATTTTGATAGCCTTTGGCAAAAATGTGTATTTGTATGAAACAGGACAATGAGATGGACACAGTTTCAGTGACTTTAAAATGTCACTCCTTAGGCCCGGCAGCGTGGCCTAGCAGCCAAAATCCTCGCCTTGAACGCCCCAGGATCCTACATGGGCACCAGTTCTAATCTTGGCAGCTCCACTTCCCATCCAGCTCCCTGCCTGTGGCCTGGGAAAGCATTGGAGGATGGCCCAAGGCTTTGGGACCCTGCACCAGTGTGGGATACCCGGAAGAAGTTCCTGGGTCCTGGCTTCGGACTGGCATAGCATCGGCCATTGTGCTTGGGAGTGAATCATTGGACGGAATTTCTTTCTATCTCTCCTCCTCTCTGCATGTCTGGCTTTCCAATAAATAAATAAATCTTTAAAAAAAGTCACTCCTTAATGAACTTTCAATCACACCAACAGCATTCAATGGCCTTACCGGTTCACCTTTGTTCCCTTTCTGTCCGGGTAATCCTGCTTCTCCCTTAGCAAAAAGAAAAAAAAAAGGAATTTCTCTATTAGAAAGCATTCCGTAATCTAAAAATATTTAGTAGGCTAAAGCTCTGCTTCTCTTTGACATGATACTCATCCCTTCATTGAACACCTTTTCCTGAGGCTCAAACACCATTTGGAATCATCTGCTTCAGGAGCTTAATATGCAAATGTATCCCTGGGATACAGTCAGAAAGGAAGTGATAGTAACTTGGCAAGTACTCTACTGGGGAAAATGAGCAAGTTTCTTTTCATTTGATATAGCCAATAAGGTAGCCATAGGTGGCCATAGAAGAAGGCCACCAAGACACCACCCAACCTACTTACTAGACAGGGGTTAAGACTGTAATTAACATCTATGAAAGGGTTCATATGTAGGTCTGTAGTACCAGAGGCCCTGACACACACCTCCAATCCACTGGTTCACTCCCTGGCTAGCCATAATGGCCAGGGGTGGTTCAGGCTGAAACCAGCAGCCAGGCACTTTTGCCAGGCCTCTGACATGGGTAGCAGGGGCCCACATGTTTGGGACATGTCCACTGCTTTTCCTAGTCAATCAGTAGAGAGACAGATTGGAAGAGAAGCAGCTGGGACACAAACCATTACCCAAATGGGAAACTGGAATCACACCTGCAGCTTCCCTTGCAAGGCCACATCCCAGGTGCCTGCAGCCTATTCTTGACAGATCCTATATACACAATACCTGCTGTTGTTCAGATGGTTTCTCTCTTCTATTCATTCTAACTCAGACTGGCTCAGAGCAATTCAGATGAAAATGTGAGAAATCCAATCTCCAACTTTTTTTGTTTAGCCTGCTCCCAGGATGAAGTAGCTTTGGCAGTTAATTCAACTATCACTAGAGGGCAAGACTCAGACTGCATACCAGCCTAACTGATTGTCTGCTGCGAGTGGGCACAAATCAAACCCAGCATACCTTGTGTGGAATGCACTGGCACAAGTCTTTCAGTTCCTGCTTTGCTGGAAGGTATGCAGACATTTTACTGGCGTGAGTGGTTAATGATGATGATGCTGTACTTCCAAAATCATCATGCGCTGAGCACTAAAACCCAAAGAAGAAATTGAGGGAATGATGTCAATTCCAAACATGGATTCCCACCAAATTAAATGTGGGGTTGTCTGCAAGAACTGTATTCTTATTAGCTGGAAGCTGACACCAGAATGTGAGTCTGTCGCATTACATTTTTACTAACACCCATCTGATGACAGTATACAACAAATGAGTTAAGAATATCAATCCTATTAAGGAATTCTAAAGCTATACTATGTCATTTTTTAATTCTTATAGTAAAATAACTTGCACAAGTAAAAACACATACTCTGAAATAAAAGCAAAAATCAAACCATGTCATTAACCCATAACAGTTATTTCTATAAACTAATTATAAAAGTTTTGTATAGTAGAAAACTATCATTCTACACTCCTCACAATCTAATTAAAATATGCTTTATTCTACCTTATTGTCCTTTAAAAATATTCTAGAAGCTCTTCACTGACATAAATGAGTGATGGATTGCATACATAACATGCTGGACATAGGATAAAATAGATGTTTTTTCCTCCAAAAAAAATAATCCTTATACAGAAAGTGAAAGGGGAAAATGCATATTTTCTTCTCATACCTAGGACCGCACATATTTTATGACTATATTTGCAATTGCAGGGAGAAAATAAATTAGGGGAAAGAATTTATACGTTATTTTTGTATTCTAAAAACTACTTAAGGAAAAGTATTTTTAGAGCACAAAACTAAAATATTGCCAGTGGTTATCTTCTGATTGGAGGGTTTTTTGTTTATTTCCTTTTTTTGAATTTGGCTACATTTCCAACTTTTTTATAAGTAATTTTGTAGCAAAAATTGTTTTGAAAAATAAATAGTACTCTTTGTATACTCTCACACAATACTGTGAACTAGTTTTCTATCTTCACCATTAGTTCTTTCATAGCCAATTTCTCCATATGTAATGATTTTAGCTATCTCAACTCTAGTCACTCAAAAATCTTATCTAAATGAAACTGGACTATCAATAAAACAGTTCATTCAGGGCCCGGCGACATGGCCTAGCAGCTACAGTCCTCGCCTTGAACACCCCAGGATCCCATATGGGCACCGGTTCTAATCCCAGCATCTCCACTTCCCATCCAGCTCCCTGCTTGTGGCCTGGGAAAGCATTGGAGGATGGCCCGAAGCCTTGGGACCTTGCACCAGTGTGGGATACCCGGAAGAAGTTCTTGGATCCTGGCTTCGGATAAGCATAGCATCGGCCATTGTGCTCACTTGTGCTCATTGTGAATCATCAGACGGAAGATCTTGCTCTCTGTCTCTCCTCCTCTCTGCATATCTGACTTTCCAATAAATAAATAAATAAATCTTAAAAAAAAAACAGTTCATTCATATTGTAGGACTTGGTTCCAATTTGCTGGGCAGTTCTTGGTCCTGGATCCTCAGTCAGATGACTAAGCCTCCCTTAGAACCACACTCTTGCTCTGGGCAAATGAATAAATAAACTGGAGAAGAGATGGGAAAATAATATCTCAGGCTTTGATGCAAAATTGTCCAAATTCTGAAAAAAATATATAAAGGAAACATAAAACATAAATAAGCACCCTTCCTCTTATGAAACCACTAGTTTATTTTGACACATATTAACTAGCCCTTAAAATTTTAAATTCATTGTAACTTATTTTCAACAGACGTGTGGATTTCTTCATTATCTTGCCTATTTGTTCTTCATAACTTTCTTATGTCTAGTCATGAATCCTGACTAATTCAGAAACTGAATCTCTAATGACAGTAAAGAAGCATGTTTATAGATGTAATTGCATAAGTCGCCTTTGAAATGCTTCATCAATTAACATCCAAGAAACATGGGATTTAAAATCTCAAGACAAAATTAGATTTCAAAACGGCATACATTAACATTTTCTGAGTGTTAAACATTTTGAAAATGATATATTTAGTATCAGGAATACTGAAGACACATTTAAGTGACTTTTGTACAATTATTTGTCCTCTAAATTATTTATTCCTATTGATAAAAGCCAGTATGTTTATACTTTCTCTTCATTAGTAAATGAATGGCTACACCTATCTCCCTTCTCTCCCTAACAATAATTACCACTAGGGAAATATGCAGGCTTTAGTTATTTTTTTTCCATAGAGATGAATTCCTTCTTTATTTTTTACTTTTTAAACTGAAGTTCAGGAATCCCAAGATGGCTAACAGAGAAAAGATGTGCTGATTTTGACCAGGGAAAGAAAAGATGGAATGTGGAACTGCATTCTTATATAAGAATTTGAGAGAAGTTTGTAGCGGGAATTTTACAGAAAGTAGAGAGATGCTATGGAGCAGCATGAACAGCACAAGCACGAAGCATCAAGTGGTGACACCAGCATCACCTACCATCGCTGGGTGCTGGAAGAGACAAAAGCTTCTGATAGCTGGATAAGATCAGAATCTGGCAGCCTGTGACACTGGCAATACTGCCTGAGGGAGATGGATTCTGATTTTGAGTCTAGTCTGAAGCTCTGGTAGGCACAGAGTACCTACAAGGATGGCAAGAAGACTCCACAAAGAAACATAACAATGCTTCATTATTGGAATGCGAGTTTAAAAACACTGAGGGAATTCCCGAAAGTAAACTTAAGTTAGTGACCACAAGACTGCTCAGAAATACAAAAAAACAAATTAACAAGTTAAAAGAAATCAATTCTTAATGTGATTAAATTTTTGCCAAAAGGTTGAGGTATTAAGAAAAACCAAACTGAAATATTAGACATGAACTGTTCAACATGCTATATAGAAAACAAGGTGAAAAACTTCAACAGACTTGGTGAGATGGGAAGAAAAATTTAAGCCAGAAGACAAATTCTAGAAAATATAAAGAAGAAAATCAGAAAAATAGAAAATAGTGTTTGGGTTTGGTGTGATGCCTCAGCAGTTAAATCATTGCATGTGCCAGTATTCCACTGGGCACCAATTCATCTCCTGGCTGCTCCACTTCCCTTCCGGCTCCCTACTTGTGGCCTGGACAACAGTCAAGAACAGCATGGGAGATCAGGTAGAAGCTCCTGGCTTCGGAATGGCTCAACTCCAATCATTGTGTCTACTTGGGGAGCGAACCAATAGAAGATCTTTATCTCTTTCCTTTCTGTAAAATATGCCATTCTAATAAAAATAAATAAATCTTTAAAAAAAAAAGGGGGAAGTGGTGTTCAAGATTTATAGGATTCTATCAAATTGAAAAACATACATGTCTTAATTCCTAAAAGCATAAAAGAGAACTGTTTAGATCCATTCAGCAATATAATAACAGAAAGGTATCTAATTTGGGGGAAAGTGGGCATATCCAAATACAGGAGGCACACAGAGTTCTTAATAGACATAACATGTTGCACAGACATTAGACTACATGATAGTTTAACTTTCAAAAGTAAAACAAAAAGAATATTCTGTAGATGCACCATAGAAGTGAAAGATTACATCCAGAGGGTCCCCAGTGAGACCAACAGCTGATTTCTTATTAGATACCCTGGAGATTAGGAGAGAATAGACAAAGTCCTAAAACAGAGAAACAATTAGGAACGTTGCACCTAACAAACCCTTGTTTACAAATGGAGGTGGAAAAAAAGACATATGAAACAAAACAAATTTGTCACTACTTATCTAGAATTTCAAATGGTTAGTAAAGATTTACCACACAGAAAAACAGAAAATGGTAGTCAACATGAGAAGTGTAGAGGAAGAAAATCTTCTCACATTTGTACAAGGGAAATCCAAACCAAGCAATAGAAATAATAACGAGGAAGCTGTAGGAATAAATCTATTTATCAATAATGTTGAAGATAAATGGCCTAAATTTAGCAATTAAAAAACACAAAATGGCTGAATGAATTAAAAAAATAAACAAGCCCAATCTATTTGCTGCCCACATGGAAAGAGAGAGGAGTGAAAAATAGCCCATATTAACAGAATGCAAAGCAAAAAAAAAAAAGGCGCCATCCTAATAACAGCAAAAATTAGCTTTAATAGAAAAAAATGTTACATGAGCAAAGAATAGCATTGTATAATATCAAGCAAACAATTCAACAGGAAGACATGACTACAGTGAATGTACATGCACTGAATGCCAGAATGCGTGGCTTTTCAAAACATGTTAATGTATCTAAAGGAAGACACAATTGAAATGACAGACTTCAATAGCCACTTTCATCAGGGGACAGATAACTGGGCAGAAAATCAACAAACAAGAATTAATCTGAAATATAGACCAAATGGAGCAAACTTCTGTCTGTTGAACATTTCATCCACAGTTGCCAAACAGACATTCTTTTCACCAATACATGGAACATGCTTGAGGATGGAACATATGCTTGGCCATAAAGCAAATTAAAAAAGAAAGAAAGTGAAATGATGACATATATCATTTTTGATCACAATGGAATGAATCTGGAAATTGGCGATCTAAGAAACTGAAAATGTAGACAAACACAAACACTGAACAATATGCTACTGAATAAACTATGGGTCATAAAAAAATGAAAATCAAAACATTCCTGGAAACAAATGAAGACAAAAATACTATATATCACATCCTATGTGACACAACAAAAGTAATGTTAAGAGGCAAAATTCAATGTCATTACTGCCTGCATCAAGAAATAAAGAACCATCAAATAATTGATCAATATATCTCACAAATCTTCAACGATAAGAACAAATGAAACCCAAAGAAAAGCCTAGGACTAGATGGTCATACTACTCAATTCTATCAAACTTTTATCACATTATGCTACAGCACCAGCCTATTCTATCAAACTTGTGAAGAAATATTAACTCCAATATTTCTCAAACTATTCAAAACAGTCAAAAGGGAGGACATTCTCCTAAACTCCCTCTATGTTAGGCCAACATCATTAACAGAAAAAAAAAATAATAAACAACTGTAGATAAGTATCTCTGGGGAACACAGATGCAAGCATCCTACATAAAACACTAGTAATTTAATCCAGTCATACACCATAAAGATAATTGACCTAG